TGCTTCACATCAAACCTGTTGTTCATCCTTGGTTCTCAAACCTAAATCTGCTTCTCTTTAACTACTATTCATGGATTCTAGCTCTATTCTCTGTGGATAAGCAGAACAAATCTCATTCCTCTTTATACATCATCCCCTTTAAGTACTTGAAGACAATTGGATGTCCTCAATCTTCTCTGCAGTCTACAAACTATAGGCCAGTGCCCTAAGCATTTTCTCTGGCTGTCTCCGGTACCTGGAGTGATCTCTCTGCTCATCTCCATCTACTGACCTTCCTGACTTCCTTTAGGCCCTAACTAAAATGCCACCTTTTACAGGAATGCTTCCCCAGCCCCTCTCAATTCTAATCTCTTCTCTCTATCAATTATTTCTGTTTATCCTGTACGTAGCTTCTTTGCATGTATTTGTTTGCACGTTGTCTCCCCCATTAAATTGTAAACTCCTGGAGGGCAGACTGTGTTTTGCCTCTTTTTGTATCCCCAGAGCTCAGCACAGAACTTGGTACCTGATAGGCTCTTAATAAATGTTAATTGATTCCTTCAGATATAAAATTCTCTCACTATCTTCTTTATCTAGGGCTTTAGGTTTTTATTAACAATTTCTGTTTTGTCCAGTTCAAAAGTCATTTTCCTTGGCATAGAAAACTGAAGCAAAAAAGGGGTGAAATAATCATGTCTTCTCTCCCTTTTTTGTTATTATTGTCACATCTATCCTGATAGCAATTCTATCCCTTCTTTGCTTCCCCTTTAGCTCAAAAAAGTTCTTTACCATTCATTTCTCTTTTACATTTTTAATTCATTTTAAACTTAAATACAAAATGAGAAAAGAAAAAAAAACATTTCCATGTACACAGCAGAACATGAGAAAACTCAATATAAAACAATAAATTTCCATTTCATGAAAACCTATGTAATAAATCTTAGGCATTGTTTTCAAAGCAACCCAGCTTTTCTGTGCTTCCTTCTAGGTTTTCTTTTGTTCTCTGCTGTGTACTTTTTATTTTATTTTATTTTATTTTTTTTCTCCCTCCCTCTAGCATTCATTTCTAGACTGGGCTTATTCTGAGCTTTATTGTTCCTGACGCTCTCATGGAGTCATTCTATATTCTGTGCCTTTGCCATCATCATTATCATCTCCTCCTCTTTCTCCTTTTTTTGTTCTTCTCTTTCCCTATCTTGCCCAGTTTGAAAGTGGGGCAGTCACTTATGGACCTGATCTCACTGCTGATTGTCATGAAAACTTTGACCTCTTCTTTCTCTGACCTGAGCTTGTTCATCCCTCCTCAGGCAGCTTGGTATACGCCTCCCTCTTCACTGGCAGGGGCTTACTATATTGGTTCGGGACTTAGTTGGGATACTCAGTTGGCATACTCAGTTGGCTTTAGCAGCTCAGAATTTCTGAGCTCAGGTGATCTACTAGCCTCATCACTCCAGTAGCATGGATTACAGGAAAGTGCCACCATGCCCAGCTGCTTCCTTCTTCAGTATATACCTTTTAAAAAAATAATTTGTTTGATAAATCTCTGTAGTCCTTGAGACAACTAACCTTTTTTTTCATCAATGGAATTTATTTCTGTTCCCATCTTCAGAATTACATTCTTGAAAGCACCCTCTCTCTATCGAGATGATTCCCCCTTTATAATTTTAGGCCATAGTATGTTACTTTTCTTTTTTTCTAAGCCCTTTGAAATACACACTTTCAAAATCTAGGATGCACATAAAATTATATTCAACTTTCCCCTCTTTATTACAAATCTAATATGAAATGGTCTCTTCCCTTAAAGGTTTCTATAGTTTCTATATCTGTAACCTATTCCTCTTTGTTGGTGAGAATCACCAAAACAGTACCCCTTATCACTCCACCTTTTGAAGAATAGATTTATCATCAAGGCAAACCAATATATTACATGTATATATGTGTGTATGTATGTATGTATGTATGTATGCATGTATGTATACACACACACATATATTTAGCTGCTTTGTTTCTGGCACAGAAAGATGAACTCCAGAAGATGTCTAGATAATTGACATTCTTCTATTATCATTATATTATTCCTCCAAGTCAAGTTTGTAAGTTTTCTACATGCCATATTTATTTCCTCCCTCTGTCCAGGTTGTCTATAAAATAATTTCATGGCAATATCCCTTCAATTTCTCTCTTGTTCATCTTTCCCTAAACATAATGCTACTCTACCCCCTCCTCCCTTTTATCTATTCTATCCCTTTTACATAAAGATGTGCAAATTGATATTCCAGTACAGAGCTCTACCCCACTAGTCTCAGTGATAGTTACTAGGTCAAATTCACCTCCTTATGTTAGGACCTCTTGTTCACTTTGCCTATTTGCCCATTTTTCATATATCTATATATAAATCTGTGGTCACAGATTTTATTCTTGGTTCCTTTCTAAGATTTTTGTGTCTTACAAACTACTAGGCATCTTTATTGGTTATACAAAGTCAGTTTTCTCTCTCTCCCTCCATTTTCATTTTAAAATCTCAGATTTCCTAGACATCAGACAAATAAGTATTTTACCTGCCCTTGTTAGGAGTATTCTGTCCCTGACCAAGAGCTAATCATTCTTAGTTTTTAAGCCTCATACATTAATCTTAATCCAGTTTTCAGATATTATTTTCTCAATCTCAGACAACAACATTGTTAACACTTCCTAAAGATATCTTTCTTTTTGGAAGCCCATGATTTCAGAGATACTAATGATTTAAAAACAACACACCTGTGTCCCTAATAGGACCTTTAGTTTCTTGCTCAGGATTTCATAATCTATAACAAGAGAACCTGCTTTTCACTCCCATGGACACCTCCATTCCTCTCACTTTTCCAGTTTTCCCAGTTCACCAATACTCTTCTGAATTCACTTGCTTTCCTCCTTAGCCTGCATCTTGTAGTCAATGTTTTCAAAAGTGTTCTTCCTAACATGGTAGAATCTTTTATTTCCTTGTTACTCAGTTTTAATGCCATCTCCTCCTCAAGCTATGGTCCTTCCCTCCCTCCTTTCTACCATTGCCAAACTTTTTGTAAGAACACTCTATACCATTGCTTTTGTTTATTCTCTATCTACTCGATCTCCCATCCCTTGCAATCTGGCTTCTTCACTTGACACTTGATTGAATTTGCTCTAATGAAGATCCTCAGTGATTACCTAATTGCCAAAATCAAGCCCCCCCCCCTCCCCCACCCCCCACCCACAACCCCCCCCCCCCCCCCCCCCCCCCCCCCGCTGTCCCCTGCTCCCATGCACACTCTGACTTTTCTGATAGTTCAAATGCCACCTCTTCCATGAAGTAAAATCTGATTGTCACCCCTTACTTTGTAGGTAAAATAAAACAAGTACACAAATACTGTAATATATGATAATACTATGCTATACAATAAAAATACTGTTATATATTATAACTATAGTGCAAGGTAGGATGTTATGGGTAACAAAAGAGATACAAAGTCCAGTGGAAGTTCAGATAAGGAACAGTTATGGGTTCAAATCCTGGATCTGCCACTCACTAGCTCTGTGATCTGGAGCAAGTTCTTTAAATTTTCTAGGTCTCAATTTCTTTATCTTTAAAATGAAAAGACTGGATACATTACCTCAGAAGTATGATCTTGTCCACCTATGAATTCCTAAGGAAGGGTGGGGTAAGGTGTAGGGTGGGGGCTCGGGAGTAAAGACAGGGTGACAGGAATCTTTCTTTGGAAAGGAGTGGTGTAGGGGAAACACCAGGACCTGAATTCCTGAACAATTTGCCCAATAACCTAGCATCCTGGGCATATCCTTACAGGTAGAGGCACAGCTCAGTGCTGCTGTCCTCTTCAGGGCAGGTGATCGGTCTCTCTTTTAATGTGCTGGGTGAACTAGAATCATGGACTATTATAGCTGGAAGGAACCTTAAAGAGAGTGCCGTAATATCATCCTTCCTGGATTTTTCAGGACAGTCTGTTTTGAGAAAAAGAATGAGACTTAAGAATGAGACTTTACAAAAAGAGTATTTCATATCACATCAGGCATCCAGGTTTTGAATTAAAAAAAAAATGCCACTGGTACTTAGTTGTGCCTTTCATTTTGCAGACTTAGAGAACTGAAAGGATATTGGATCTGGAGTTTGGATATTGACTCTGCCTCTAAGAACTTAGTCGTTAGACCTGGGGGCAAGTCACTTGGGCTAGGTATCACAGGCGACTGAGCACAGGATCTGAAGTCAAAAAGACGTGACTTCAAATCCTGCCTCTGACACTTGCAAGTCACTTAACGTCTTCGAGACTCAATTTCCTCAACTGTAAAATGGAGATAATTATAGCACCTAGGCTCACAGAGTTATTCTGAGGATTAAATGAGAACATATGTAAGGTGCTTTAGCCACGTATATGCTAGTGATGATGATGATGATGACGATGATTATAGATTTCAGCCTCTTGGTCTGTGAAAATTGGAGGGTCTGGACTTTTCCTTCCAGCTCTGAGCTCTAGATTACTAAGTCACAGAGGGATAAAGGCACTGTCAGTAGTTGCCCGGTAAGGCAGGTCCCTAACCAGAGGTTAAGGCAGTGAGCACTGCAGAAGAAACTCTGGTCCTGCCCAACCCCAGGGATGCACGACCATCTCTCCCAGAACAACACTCCCTCTCGGAACCCCAGAGCCAGCTAGGGGAGTAGGTAAGTGGACACCCGGGACTTCCACGTTAGAAGCCTCTCAACCTACCCACGCAAGTTCAAGGCTCTGGACTGCCCTTGACTTGGCAGCCCGGTAGTCCTTGGCTGGGATCTATCCCATCTCTTCGCCCCCGCCTTCAGAAACTACAATCCCCAGCATGCACGTCTCCCCTTCCCCCTTCCCACGCCTCCGATCGCCTTGGCCGGAGCAGTGCGCATGCTTCTCCAGACGTGGCACCGGGAACTTCGAGGGAGCTGGGGGCGGGGCCCAGGGCAGCGGCCGCGGCCGTTGGAGGAGCGGGAGCCGGAGCCGGGGCCGGGGCCGGGCCGGGCGGGCACCTGGCAGGCTGGCGGAGCAGGCGGCGGCGATGGGTCGGGCCGGCCGTGGGTGTTGCTCCGGGCTGCTGCTGCTGGCGATGCTGGTGAGGCCGGGCAGGGGCCGGGCCGGGGAGGGAGGCAGGCGCGCTGCGGGCTGTGCCAGGGGCGCAGGGCATGACTGACGGAGAGCGGGAGGTGAGCTGCGCGGGCCGCCCGGGGGCTGGCTGTGCACGCCCGGGAGCGCCGCGCGGGCTGCGCTGGGTGCAAGTATGAGAGAGGAGGCTGGGGACCCCCTGCCCCTTTACGCCCTCCCTGTGCCTAGGTTCTGCGTCTTGCACCTGTGCATGTGTGCACCGGGGAGAAGGGGAACTCCGGGAGTGGGGGCTGGGGGGCGGCGGCGGTCAATATCAGGCAGCCTAATTTCTGGTCACTCATGATGCTTGGTTTATGTTTGAGATTTCTTGCTTCATGTGACCGCGCTGCCCCCTTCCCCCCATGCCCAGACCCGTGCACCCACGGGCCAGGCCCCTTGGAGGCTACGGCAGCCCCTTTCTGGAGGTCTGGTCATGGGCTGCAAAGCTGGACTCTTGGTTAACCCCAGCGTGAGTTAGGAGGTCGTGTTGTGTAATGGGGGAGGAGCCCCTCCCACATATAGCCTAGGGGTGTGACACTCCCACCTCCGTACTCTCTTCGAAAGAGCATCCCGGGGACACACCTCAGAGGACCATGGAGTGCCAGAATGGATTGAGGACTGGGACGTAATGGCATGAGGTGGCCTCTTCCCCTTCCTGCAGCCTCACTCCCCCTTGGCCTCCTCCCAAGAGCTGCCTTCAAGGCTAGAGGATGAATAAAATTCTGATCTTTTATGTTTTAGGTGGAGGGTAACTGTTTAGTCTTGGATAGGGAATGACAAAGTTAAGGTGTCTCTAGTCTAGAGCTCTTCCATTTCCCCAATTATGCCCCCATCCTTCCAACATAAGTTCTGTGAATTGACCCTCTGTTTCCAAGTGGCTTAAAGATGACTGTGAAGGGAAGGGGGACTGGGGAAGAAACTTAATTCAAGAGATATTAAATACCTACTATTTGTAAGGCACTGTGCTAAGCTCTGAGGATACAGAATGAAATGTCCATGCTCCTAAGGAACTTATATTCTTTTTAGGGGAGATATTGTACATACAAAAATAAGTAAATACAAGGTATGGAGGAATGGAGCAAATATAAGATTAAACAAAGTGCTCTAGGAAATTTTGAGGAGGAAAAGGAGAGTACTAATAACTGGAGAGATCAAGGATAGCTTCACAGAGAAGGTGGTACTTGTGGGATTTCATTTCATGGGAGGGTATAGCTTGTATGATTGTAGGAAGGTGTGATGTGGCATATCTAAGGTTACTTCCTGGATTTAGTTTTGTTGTTCTTTTCTGGGGGTGAGAAGTGAAAGAAAGCCTGTCCTGGCTTACTTGCCTTTCTAAATTTACGTGGGTGCTGGCTCTAGAAAGCACCTGCTTACTTACAGTATGTTACTGGAAAGACAGGGATTGTGCAGATAATGTATTCAGTGTGAACTTTTACTTCAGTTTAGGTCTCCTGTAGGGTTTAGAAATACTGGAATTACTCACTAGGGATTGGGAGGAAATCAATGACCTACCAGTGGATGGAAGGGATGAGGAATGATTGTTCCTGCCAAGACCTCCATCCTTCCTGAGGGAAGGAACAGATTTCCTCTCTTGCCTTCAACAATCTGACAGCAAAGTCTTTTCTAAATCATCTTGCTTAGGGACTAATGGGGACTGTAAGCATACACATAGGCAGGTAGTTTTTGTTGTTGTTATTGTTCCTTTCGGATGATCATTTCCCACTTTCCTAGTGCATTTGAGAATTGGAACTTTGAGGTCCATGCTGTCATAAGAAATCAGTTACTGAAAAGCCTTTTGGTGGAGTTCATCTTAATCTATCAACCACCCCTCCCTAACTTTAAAAATGGCAACAATAACAAAAGTTAAAATTATAAGTGAATTTCTGTGGTTAGTGTTTTTCATGAGAAAGAAAAAGATTTAGAACTCTGGGAGATGCATTTTGTGTGTGTGTGTGTGTGTGTGTGTGTGTGTGTGTGTGTGTGTGTGAGAGATACTCATATATATTATCCCTAAAGATAAAGAAGGATAAAGAAGAAGCATTCCTTGAAAGTAGATTTCCATCCCCCCCTTCCCCCACAAGCATGACTTAAGAGAAGGGGAACAAGCAGACAATGAAAGTGAAGGTTGGTGTGTTTTTCTTTTCTTAGAAAACTGGGATGGGCCACTGTACATTTATATACCATGTATATCTGTTAAGGTCCTCAGGGATTCTAGGGAGAAGGTTGGGTTCCTTTATTTCTTTCAACCAATATTTTTTGAGCATAGCATTGTGTTAGATTCTGTGAGGGATACATAAAAATATGATTCGTGATTCCTCCTATCTCAGGGAGACAAGATTATACACAAAGTTAAACACCTCTTTAAGAGGACAATGCAAGAGATGTCATAAGGCATTATAGGAAGACTGACTTAAAAATGTTTGACTTGAATGAATATGAACAGTTACCTTATCTGGTAGCATGAACTTGCCCTCCCTCCTCTGTGTCCCATTTCTGGGAATGTTTCTTCCTCTTAAACACTCCTAGCTGTTTATTTCTGCCACTCTATTTCCCTTAGGTATCCTACTCTATGTATCGACCTCCAGTCTCTCAAGCTAGAGCCCAGCTTGTTCTGGTCCAGTTCTTTCTCTAGCTCTTAACAAGTGGTGTAATGAAAAGTATGCAGGATTTGGAGTCAGTGGACCTGGGTTGGAATCACTTAACCTCTCCAAGCCTCTAGTTTCTTCATATATAAAATGAGGGATTTGGTCTAGATAACCTCTGAGATTTTTTCCATTTCTAGATCTCATCAGTCCTTTTCTTCTTTCCCTGTCCCTTTCCCCTTCCTGTCCTCTTCCTTCTCTCTAGCTAACTTCTTTTTACAGTCCCTTTTTCCTCTGAATTCAGAGATGCCCTGCCATTGAACCGTTTGTTTCCTTTCCTTCTATCTCCACCCTACTAACTGAACTGTTCCCACTTCCCTTTCCTCTCTCCCCAGCTGACTTGTTTGTGCAGTCCTTCACTTTTCACACCAACCCTCCCACCTCTCTGCACCACTTCTCCCTCTCCCCCACTTCCTCCCCTTTCTTAGCAGGAAGAATCTACATTCCTCAGCTTCTTCCATTATCTTCCCTTATCCTGCCTGTCCAAGCCTCTGTCCCAGAAGTCTTCCCCCCAGGGGAGCAGTATACTGGCTTGAAGCTAGGAAAGTTCCTTTTCCCACTGCCTGGCATGTGTCCTGCTTTGGGTAGGGGGGTGGGAGTGGGGGTGGAGAATGGATTTAATCCTGGTATAAGGTGGAACCCCTGTCCATTTCCCCAAACAGACATTTTTTTTTAATGATTTGGCAACACTGTAAGTTAAATTAGGCTTTTGAGGCTGAATCAGAAACTGACCACTTAATATTTTTGTTTCAATGGGAACACATGTTCAAGTTCTAAACATCTGACTGAAAAACAAACCTTTGGAACACGGCCCACTTTATAAGTAGGTTGGAAATGGCCTATGGATGATTTAGCCCCAGTTATATGGGATCATGGATTTAGATGGAGAAAGAACCTTGGAGGTCATTCATTCTGATCCCTTCATTGGGAAGGGTTAAGTGGCTTGCCCAAGGTTACACAGATATTAAGTGAGAGTGTCTAGATTTGAGCCCAGGTACTCTGTCCATTGTACCCCATTGGAAATGTATTCAGGCACCTAGGTTCTACTCTGGACCCTCTCATTTACTACTTGGGCAATGATCCCTCTGAAGCATTACAGACAAGTACTTTGAATTCAGTGGAAGGAGTGATTGTTATGGGCTAAATGTTCTGGGAAGGCTTTTTCTTGAACTAGAACTAGGCCTTGATAGGTAGGGTTTGGTCAGATAGATACAGGGGGAAGAGTGTGCTATGGAAGGCAAATGATAAAAGTATATGAGCGAAGGAACACAGGGAGGAAAAGGAATGAGCGTCATTTGCAAGGAGGGAAAATGAATAGATCAGTATGGCTGGAGTAGAGATTCTTTTGTGGAATATGGGACATACAGGGTCATAGATTTAAAGGTGGAAGAGACTATCTGACCTTCTCATTGTACAGAGTTAGAAATTGAGGCCCAGAGTGATTTTCCCAAGGTCACATTGTGTCAGAGTTAAAATTTGAACTCAGATCCTTTGACTCTTAAGTCCAGAATCCTTTCTACATTTCCATGTTACCTCTTCTCTTGCTTCCCTTATTATTCAGGAGTTTATTTCACAAGTCCCTTCTTTATCATCTTTCTCCCTTTGCTAACTTGTCTTTTGACCATTCTCTATTTATATAAAGTGTAGAAATAACAACAGATAATTATTTTAATAAAAGATTTGTGGAAAGGAGTGTGAAATTAATAGCCAAAATCATTTTACGTAGGTCAAGTCCTGCTATTAAATTAGAAGTATGCAGGTTCTTCCATAATCATACTCTTTCTGGTTAAGGGCCGTTTGTGGAGGACGTTGAATGGTGAACTAAAGATTTTAAGTTTTTTTTTCTTTAGCAATGAGAATCTATTGAAGAAATGATGTGAAGAAAGCAGTGCTTTAATATTAATATGGCACTGGTATGCTGGAGAGGTGAATGAAATGAATAAGAGAAATCTGAACAATTTAGGAAGCTTTTGCAATAGTTAAAGCTTTAAGTTATAATGGGGGCAGTGAGAATAGAAAGGAGAGAGGGATGTGGGAATGTCATAAAGGGAGACACAGTAGAACTTAATGAATGCTAGTTGGGGAAAGAGGGGAGTCACATAGGAGTCTGAAGTTTGGATGACTAAGAAAGCAATGCTACCATTGACAGTCAGTCAGGAGAGGGGATTAACTGATGCTTTGGTTGTGAGTCACCCAGGTGCACAGGGAGCCTGATGCTAGCTAGGGAAAGAATTTTAATGTAGTTCAGAGATGCTTAATCATTTTCCTTGAATTTTAGAATATCTGGCTACATTTTACACTCTCCTGACTAGTCTCTGTTCCCCTCTGT